GAAAGGTACCCTTGGGGCTGGCATGAAGGTGTGGTAAAGGAACAGATAGGGTCAACAAGATGTATCTTCTCATCTGTTCAAATTTACTAATCATGAGGAAAAAAGTTAATAAATTTAAAGCATTTTTATAGTAAAATATTTTTTTTTAAGATTTTTTTTAAATTTACTTACTCATGACAGAGAAAGAGAGAGAAGCAGAGACACAGGAGGAGGGAGAAGCAGGCTCCATGCCGGGAGCCCGACGTGGGACTCGATCCTGGGACTCCAGGATCGTGCCCCAGGCCAAAGGCAGGTGGCTAAACCACTGAGCCACTCAGGGATCCTCTACAGTAAAATATTATGGAACAAATTATAAAATTAGTAGTTTAAGGTATGTTTTAGAAATGTAAAATTTCTTAGAAGCATATCTCATCTCTCTTTTCTAGAGGGAGATGCTCTACATTTCTTTTCTATCCCTTGTATAGTTATCAATTGGATTAAGAAATAAAAATCTGCTAATCCTATTACACAACTAGAAGGGAATAAAGCTGATAATAGTTGCTACTGGATGGTAAAAATGTGATTTTTAAAAACAATTTTTTTGACTTTTCCAAGGTTTCTATGCCTATGTATTACATTTATGCTAGAAGAAATTAAGACAAATCTTTTTAAACAGGAAATTTTTTTTCCTATTGAAAAATAATTTTTCAAAGTAAGCTCTATATCCAAAGTGGGGCTTGAACTTATGACCAGAAGATCAAGTCACATGCTCTACTGACTGAGCCAGCCAGGTGCCCCCAAAACAGGAAAATATCCTTAATTTTTATATCTGAAAATTTGTTTAATTGCTGTTAAGTATTTGTAACCATAAAACTAGACTTTTCTTTACATAGTTCATTAATATGGTTTCAAAATTAGATTTTTTTTCATACTTACCTTTTGAGGTTTTGGGAGCTGGAAGAATGGAGAAATGACAGTGAAACCACACAACAAAGAATTCAAGAAGTGATTCTTGAGTTCAATACTCTTTTGAAAACAGATTGTTCCCCTACAGCTGATTTTAAAATTACCTAATTTTTGAAATTATCTGTTCAGTTCTTCCCTGATAGTTAATTCTTCATTATCACTTTTAAAGTTCCTGAACCCAGTAGGATTTCCATTTACAGATTTCCGGAGGGGGCTATGTGGTTTAAGTCTGCTTCAAATAATTTTTTTTATTTTTTCAAGTATTTCTTTCTTCTTTTCAAAAAACAAACTTCCCTTTCCCCAAATCACAGAAATCATACATGCTTATTTATAATCATGAAAATATGATTCACCCCCTCACCCTAATAAGATTTGTTTCACACCCGTAGTAAACCAGTAATAACAATTTAGCAAATGTATTCTAAGGAGGCTGTTCATAATATCTGACATATCTTAATATGAACAATTTCTAGCTGATTAAATATTCATTGCATTATTTTAAATACCTGCACAGTATTCCACTCAGCATGTTATTTAATCAACTTTTATTACTGGACACTTTAAAAACTCTTCCCAATTTTTAATATTATAAACAACACTATAATAAACACATGGATTATTTCTTAAAATATTTATTGCTTTTACAATATTGAAAAATTAAAATAATCTATTATTCTTTTAAATATGCTAAAATCCTAGAGATGTATTTGGCTGGTCCATACTCAATTAATAGGTGAGAGAGAGAAAAGGAGAGAGAGAAAAAGGGAGGGAAGGAAGGGGGAGATAGGGGGCCAGAGGGAGGGAAGAGAATTTTTCATGTAACTGAGGGAAAAAAAAACAACTGTATTACTTATCAGCATAAAATTAGTATTTAAACTTTGGAACCTGATACTTAGGCTTAAGTTTTCAAATTCTGGGCATCTTAGTCCACTTGCTTTTCTTCATTTTGTTTATAAAATTAAAAAAAAATTTAAAGGATTTTACTAATTTATTCATGAGAGACACAGAGAGAGAGGCAGAGACACAGGCAGAGGGAGAAGCAGGCTCCCTCTGGGGAGCCTGATGCGGGACTTGATACCGGGTCCCTGGGGTCACACCCTGGGCCAAAGGCAGACGCTCAACCGCTGAGCCACCCAGACATCCCATAAAATTTAAACATTTTATTTATATGGTTAATACATTTAAAAGGTTAATATGGATTAATAAATGAGGTCCAATTAATGATGAAGTGTTATGTCCCTCAGGTGTGTTAAGTTAGAGAAAAAGGTTAAGAACTATGGATATAAAGTATTCATACCACAAGAAGGAGGGATAATACTGTATTTTTAAAAAAGATCTTATCTATTTATTCAGGAGACACACACACACACACACACACACACACACACAGAGATAGAGAGAGAGAGAGAGAGGCAGAGGGAGAAGTAGACTCCATGCAGGGAGCCCGATGTGGGACTCGATCCCGGGTCTCCAGGATCATACCCTGAGCCGAAGGCGGCGCTAAACCGCTGAGCCACCTGGGCTGCCCTAATACCATATTTTTAAAGTAAGGAAACATTTACCACACATAAGAGGTCTCGCTCATTTCTAAGCATGTATAAGAATTAGTTGAGGGAGAGTGGCAGTCAGTGAAATGGCATAAATAAAGGCAAAAAAACCCCAAATGGATCAAGATTAGTTCACTTGCAGAAAAATGGAAAAACTTGAGAAGTCAGGGAAAGTTCATGAGGTATAAGCTAAGGAGTTTAAATGTTATCCTATAAGCAAAAGTAGTGTTTTAGGAAGATTAAATTAGTGGGATATATACTATAACGAATGAAACAATTATAGGCAAAGAACTCCTCAGATAAGATGCTACAGAACAGGTGAGAAATAATGAAATCCTTAATTATGGCAGCACTTCCAGAAGGAAGGAGTCCAAGATGGCAGTGACTCGTCTGGGTAAATGACAAACATGAGTAAGGCACTGACCTTACTCCTGGAGTATCTCCTGGAGCCCTTAGCTTTGACAAGCTATACTGATCAAGTGGAAAACAACTTCAGAGCCATCAAAGCACAATTTGTAAAAATGCAATCATCACACATGTACCTATTAACCAACTATTTAAACATTCTGTTTATATTCTAAATATAAACCTAAACTCTAACCCTGAGTCAGATTCATAAAAATACTGTTCTACCTACAAAGGTCAAATAGGCTGAAGCACATACCATTACATACCATTCTCAAGCTTCTCTTAAAGACGTATGAAAAATTAAATCTGTAGATCAAGCTAAAAGTTTAAACAGCCATAAAATCTAGCCCCTATATAAACTCTTTGATTCCATAAGCTAGGAGTCTCTTCTTGTATATTTAATCATAGCCACCCAGATCTCCTTTATTCCTTGTACACACCAAAAATGCTTCAGCCTCAAAATCGTTGTAGTTATTTCATCTGCCTGAAAGGCTCTTTTCCCAGAAACCTAATGATTTGTTCCTTATCATTTTAAAAATCTTTGTCTAAATACCATCTCTGAGACGTAATATTTAAAAACATCTCTCTCCTGCATTCTAAACAACTTTATTCCATCCTTTATACCTCCCTTGCATTATTTTTCTACATAGAACTTATTATCACCTGACACACCACATATATAGTACTTTTCAGGTTTTTTTCTATGTTCTATTACATTCACCTCACTCCCAAGACAGTAATCTCTGAGGGCAGAAATTTATGTTTTGTTTAGTGCTGATCTTTAGCATTTACATAGAATAAATTTACCTCTCTCTATATAAATATTTCAAGTATATTTTTAATGCACCCTGTCAAACATTAGCATTTTCACACTGCCACAAAATATTCATGAAAATATAAACATATTAATACAAAAACTACATTAAGTATTTTGAAGTTTACAAATTCTCTTAAGAAATGATGTACTTAAAAAAAAAAAAGAAATGATGTACTTAAACTTTCTTGACTTATACTACAGGACAACAAATACTCTTGCTTGCTTCATGCCAAAATGGCAGTTTTAATTGATGACGGGGAAACTTAAAAAAGTCTCCTATAATTTACTATCATATGCATTAAGTCCAAAAAAGAAAAAGATTTTAGTGGTACTATAAGAACTTATATCCCTGAAATGCTAGAATATAAGAAATCCCAAAATCTAAAAATGAAATGTGGAAATAAACTCTGAGGTGGTTTAAATTCCTACCACTTCCTAAAGATATTTCTTAATAGAATAATCCATGGTAAGTGGCTAAATTATAAAACAAAGATATAAAAAATACTTTTAGATTACAAGTTAATCAAATTGAGTAACATTTTATATAAAAGTAGCTTAAAAGTTCTTCTCTCTCAGCATAATTTCTCAAATAAAATCTAATCTACAGCATATGATAGAAACAATAACATTTTCCAGGTAGTTTTCATTTCTTCAAAACACAGAAGTTCAATCACAAGGATACAATATCAAAGTTCCACAGAATTAAGGGGGACCTGTAATTATTAAAATGCTAATTTAAGTATTTTACTCATAAAAGTTTTGCATGAATTCCATGTATTAGTAATCAAGGAATAGACCCAAATAGATATTATAAATGTTAAATTTAATTTCAGTATAATAAAGACAAAAAAAAAAAAGCAACTTGTCACCCTGCACAGTAACTTTAACATAAAAGGTTTAAACTTATTTTGTCAATATTTTCTTCATTGTATATAGCTTTAAAAAATATCAGAAATCTGCGAGATGGGTGACGGGCACTGAGGGGGACACTTGACGGGATGAGCACTGGGTGTTATTCTGTATGTTGGTAAATCGAACACCAATAAAAATTAATTTATTAAAAAAAAATCTGCGTGATATATATTTATAAACAAACAAGGCAAGAACATATACTCTCACATTTCTGGTGAGTTAATTCTGCATTAAAGGGGCTTAAGTTATTTGTAATAAGATAGAAATTACAAGAAATCCTTTGACAGAGGTAAGAAAATAAACAATTTTAGCTGGAAATCATGATGTTCTCATTTCTTCTAGGTATGCAAATAACATGTCTAAATACTTACTAGAGCCAAATCTATCTCAAAAGTTTGGGACATTAATTTTTCTCCTTTCTGTCAATACTCAATGAGAAATTAACACTTAGAATAAAACTTTTTCGATGAATAAAGGATAGTAATATCCACCTGCAAAAGGAAAAAAAAATTGATTTAGAATGTCAACTTCTAAATAAATCATTAACTTAGAGATCACGGTTTATGAAAGTATAATCTTGCTAATCCAATTATGACTAACCTGAGCATGTATCCATAATGATACTTTGTGGCTTACAAACATGTAATTTCTATAACAACCAAAAATATATATAATTGAATGAAGAAAACCTTTATGGTTGAGTACAGAATTTAGTCTAAGGCCAAATTTTCATAACTACTATCACTTATTAGAACGTGTGATCTTAAGAGATCTGCATTTAAATATAACATGTAAATTGAGTTATTCAACTATTAAAATATTCCTCTTGCTATCTCCTGCATACTTGCCTGAGTCCTCTGAGTTAGTTCCAAACTCAACCCATACTCCAAGATTTAATATGCTAAATATTGAAATTATTTTGCATCAACTTAAAAAGAAACTGAATGAAAAAGATGAGGATTTTTTCCAAAGATGGAAAAAATGAAATTTAACATACATCCTATTTTTATTTTGTAAAATAGCCAAATTAAGGTTATTAAAGGGTCTGTTATTTTACTATTTTCTCTTTATGTGTTCAAAATTACACAAAGATGGAAGTGTATTAACTCATACAAATAAAACTACCAGTTCTGCCGAATTACCTAAAATGTGTGTTTCATTAGGTACTGACAGGCCATTTCCTCTTCTTTAGTAAAAGACTGGAAAGAAGTTGTATGCTGTTACAATAAATTTCAATGTAACAGTTTTTCTATAGTTTCGCACTTCACCAATATTTCAATTTTCCTATAATCTTTTTTTAAAAAAGATTTTATTTATTTATTCATGAGAGACACAGAGAGAGGCAGAGATACAGGCAGAGGGAGAAGGAGAAGCAGGCTCCTTGCAAGGAGCCCGATGTGGGACTCAATCCCTGATCCTGGGATCATGCCCTGAACCAAAGGCAGAGGTTCAACTGCTGAGCCACCCAGACGTCCCAATTTTTCTTTAATCTATTCTCAGGATTAGGACAAGAAAAGTTTTCATTTAGCTGTAATAGCCCCAAATGTTCCTTCTTCACATCTGGAGGAGTTAAATACAAAGATTCACCTAGTAAATGTAAAAATCCAGGTTTTCTGTCATTCAGATTAGATTAAATATAATTTCCTAAAATTTAGTCAAAATATACTTAGGAAAACAAAAACAGAAAAAAGAAATCAAATTCCTGAGTTGTTCTGGAAAATACTAACCAAACTTTGTAGTTTATTCAATAGATATTTCTAAGTATTTAGATGTTAAATCCTGAATCCTTTCAGTGGAATTAAAAATTATCATTTGTTATAGTCTTTTATAAAATAGTTGAAATAAAGGAAAACAGGTTAAGAGCTTGATGAATGATTTTTAAAACACCAAGGCAATACGTATTTCCATGTAAAAGCTGGCATTTAATTCTAGCTATCATATATATGATATGCTGCTTACTTATTTGGGAGAAAATTCTTTTGCATGGGAAAAACTGTTCTTAAAACAGTTTATTATATAGTTTCTTTACCTTCAAATGATATATTTATTTATTTATTTTTAAGATTTTTATTTATTCATAGACACACACAGACAGAGAGGCAGAGACACAGGCAGAGGGAGAAGCAGGCTCCATGCAGGGAGCCCGATGTGGGACTCGATCCCCGGTCTCCAGGATCACACCCCAGGCTGCAGGCGGCGCCAAACCGCTGCGCCACCAGGCTGCCCCCAAATGATATAATTTAAACAGAAGATCATCGAATACAATTCCTTAAATATATTTTTTAAAGATTTATTTATTTATTTATGATAGACCTCTAGAGAGAGAGAGAGAGAGAGGCAGAGACACAGGAGGAGGGAGAAGCAGGCTCCATGCCCGGAGCCCTACACAGGACTCGATCCCGGGACCCCAGGATCGCGCCCTGGGCCAAAGGCAGGTGCCAAACCGCTGAGCAACCCAGGGATCCCCCAATTCCTTAAATTATATTTGAAATACTTTTTGAGCTTCTAAAAGAGGCAGTAATTAGAAAATGATTTGTTAAGAACTGCTCTTATTTTGGAGATTTTCTGCTTGGATACAGTTGAAAAGATTAAGATATTCTTTGTAGAAAAGGAGGCCAGAAGTGTAGTATACTACACAAACATACCTCTGTTATCCTGAATATTAATTTTTAGCTTAATGACTTAATAAAACAACAAAATAAAAAGAAGGTAAACTTTTTCCTTCTAATCTTTTTTTAGAATTAATTTTTAAATTTTTATTTATTTATGATAGTCAGAGAGAGAGAGAGAGAGAGAGAGAGAGAGAGAGAGGCAGAGACATAGGCAGAGGGAGAAGCAGGCTCCATGCACTGGGAGCCCGACGTGGGACTCGATCCTGGGTCTCCAGGATCGCGCCCTGGGCCAAAGGCAGGCACTAAACCACTGTGCCACCCAGGGATCCCTCCTTCTAATCTTAAAGTAAAAATTTTGATTTGTGTTCATGTCTATAAAATTAATAACTATAATAACAATTTTTACTCTGAAATTAAATATTGGATATAAAAAAGTCAAACAAGGCCTTTATATTTTTGACTTGTCAAAAATCTTCAGCTAAGGATTTAGAAAAACATTTTAATAAAAATGAGAAAAAACAATATGAGTTAGAAGGCATATATTAAGATTGTAATCTGTCGTGTGGAGCAAATTATTTGAGTTTCTGTTTCCTGAGCTAACCAAAAAAAATAGGCTGGTCATCTGCAAGGTCTTTCCTACCTTTGAAATTATGATTATGAGAGCATTCTGAGACCCAGGATTTCAGGAATTTAATTCATATGTTTTGATAGTTCCTTTTTCCCTTATAAGGAAATAATCAGAAACATTACTAAAAACTGTTTCCTAAGTTCTGTTCAGAATGTGTATTTTATAACATACATTTATTGGTGAGATAAACAATTATCTTTAATTTCATTTTACTAGGGAAACAAAGGGGAAAACTAATATTGGAAGAAAAAATTTCAGTATTTACATTAAACATGATATGCATTAAAATACGTTTGATTCTGTATAAGCTCTTTCAATAACCACTTCATGGCATTCAACACAATTATGACATTGCAATTATATTATTTTACTCTATTTCTTTACAGATTTTATTTAATTTAAAAAATATATGTATGTAATTTCTACACCCAACATGAGGCTCGAACTCACGACCCTGAGATCAAGAGTTGCATGCTCCTCTGAACGGAGCCAGCCAGGTGTCCTGCAATTATGTATTACTTTAGTACAAATATAATATATCCGAAATGTTAGTACTTATTTTTATAGAATACTAAACATCACAAGATTATCAATAATATTGAATTATCAATAAAACTGAAGATATATCAATAATATTAAGACACATTAAGACATATTAAACTGTAAAACATATTATACTGTAAAATATCAAACTGTAGAGTATGGCCAACCTTACTTCAGCAGCACAGTTAATACTGGAGATAATTTTAGAATCTTAACGCCAATATTTACGTGCTGCTAAGGCACTGCTGACATCACTATCATAAGAGCTATGAATAAAAAGAAATATATTTTCTTCAGAAGATCAGATCCTTGTATTTTTGAGGCAGCACAATATGGCCTGCACCTTTTCAAAATCCACAAACCATTATGTGCTGCTACTTTACTCCAAGGTTTTTGTTTTTTAAAACACACATTAGCACCTGAAGATAGAAAGTCTTTTTCTTTTAGAAGAGAATATGTTAAGAAATCCAAGTTTAAAGATTATAAATGACAAAGTACGCATAATTAGCTATTAGAAGCTTTAAAGTAGCATAATAAAATTTATTTCTCCATCAAATGTTTAAAAAAAGCCTACTATGTGCAAAGCACATTGGTATAGGTTAGGAACACAAAAATGTGTAATAGGAGGAAATGAAAAGCATTTTCCCCTCTTAGTCAACTTAATAAGCCAATACAGTTAAATACTTGATCAAATTTTTTAATGCATTAAATACAAAGAAGCTACTTTTTCCTTTTATAAACACAAATAAAATTTAGTCTTTACCTTGGTAAAAGCATTAATTTACAGATGGCACTTCATTCCTTGCGGTACACCTTTCAAAAGACCTCTTCATCAAGTAGGTAAGAATGCGTATCAAGGGAAAAATAAGAAATGACATACAGAAGTTCAGTTTCAATAAACTTAAGTTGGCAAATGAAAAGATACATACATACATTTATTTATTTATTTATTTAGAGCAAGAGCAAAAGCAAAAGTGAGCAGGCGGGAGGAAGGAGAGAGGCACAGGGAGAGAATCTTAATCAGGATCCATACTCAGCATAGAGCCCAAAGGGTTCCATCTCATGATCTGATCCTGAGATCATGTCGTGAGCCAAAATCAACCTTAATCATCAGAGCCATCCAGGACCCCCATAAATACACGTTTAAAGGAAAAGCCTGCTTAAGATTCTCCTTTTTCCTACCAACACCAATCTCTCTCTCAGAAAAAAAAAAAAAAAGAAAAAAAAAGTAATTCCAGATTACAAAGCTTTGGAAAGATGTATTAAGTTTGTATCCAGAGATGAAAAATAAAACTGGTATCTGGTGGCTCTTGATCTTCCTATATCCTACCTACCTCCACTCTTCACTAGGCAAGGAGTATACTCTGAAACAGTTTCCACTTACTTAGATATAGGAATGCAATCACTTCTCTAAAAGATACCAGAGAACTATCACCATTCTAGTTCAAGCCTTGGCGACCTTTTGCTACAGTTTTCTCATCTTTAAAATGGCCATGCTAAAGCTATGATACCCCTATTACAGAATAAGGAGGTGTGCAGTGAAACCCGCCCTTCTTCTCGTATTTGTTTACAAAAGCATAACTGCCCTATATTCCACATTTTTTGTGAGTATCTTCCCCATTACTGAAAAATATACATAGCTAATCTGAGTAACTCCTATTTCGCATACTACTCTGCTCTATCACTATTTCAAATTTCTGCACAATTTTGAGTATGTAACCAAAATAAATATTTGAAATGACTTGAGAAATACACAATACATATTTCTATTTATCAATTACATTAAGGAACAGTTCTTTAGGGGTATCCTCTTCCACAAATCCACTTTCGAAACAAAAAAATGTAAACATGACATTTTCAAATATACAAAGTTTATATATGTACTTTTTTATTTTAATAAAACTTATTGAACATCTACTATGTGCCAGGCACCATCCCAGTCGTTACACTAGTTAGTACAGTAGTATACAGACACAGTACCTTCTCAGAAAATTTAAAATCATTTAAAACATAAGATATGGAACCATTAATTACTATTCAAGACTATATATTGTTCTTGCCCTCCCCCAGTATGTGTGCATATATATAGTTCATGTATACATATACATAATAATAACAGATACATGATAGTTCCAAAATCAAGTGAACATTTCCTTCAAAATCAAGAAGAAATCCATTTGGTCCCTTCAATTTCCATCTTCTTCCTTTTCCTTCCTTCTTCCCCACCCCCAATTCTATACATTTTAAACAAAAGTCAAAGATGCCAAACTTGAGGGAAATAAATGTAAATACTGCAAAATGAAAATCACTTTTATAGTCTTGTAAACAAAACTTCACACTAAGAGTGTCAGTTTTTATTTTTTTTAAATTGTGGTTAAACACACATAAAGATTACCATTTTATACAGTTATGTGGCATTAAGTCTATTTGTTGTGTAACTATCACCACCTGCCATCTCCAGAACCTTTTCTTCTTCTACCCATTTAAATACTGTCCATACCTTCATTGCCTCAGCCCCTGGACACCACTGTGCTACTTTCTGTGTTGATAGGTTTGCCTATTTTAGGTACCTTATATGTATGGAATCATCCAATATTTGTTCGAGTCAGACTTATTTCACTTAATACAGCTTTTCAAGTTCATCCATGTTGTTGCATATATCAGACTTTCTTTCCTTTTTATAGCTGAGTAGTATCCAATTTTATGTATATACATTTTGTTTGCCACTTATATGGACATATAAGTTGTTTTGATCTTTTGGTTATGATGATTAACTGCTCGTATACACACAGTATATAATTATCTGTTTGAGTCCTGCTTTCAATTCTTTTGGGTATAAACCCCAAAGTGGTATCTGTGGATTGTCTAGCTTTAATTTTTTGAAAAACTGCCATACTGTCTTCCATAGTGACTATAGATTGTTTTGTCCATTTCATGTCCCTTAAGATTCATTAAGATACATTTTAGAGCAGTTTTTTGTTCCTATAAAAAATATCATTGGATTTTGACAGAGACTGCATTGAATGTCATCTTAACAATATCAAGACTCCCAATACATGAACATGGGATGTCTTCCTATTTATTTGTGTCTTAAATTTCTTTTACCAATATTTTACAGTGTAGTCTTTTACCATTTTGGTTAATTTTACTACTAAGCATTTTATTCTTTTTGATATTATTGTAAATATAACTTTTCTTAATTTACTTTTTGGGTTGTTCACTTTTTAGTGCAAAGAAATGCCACTGATTTTTGAGTGTTGATTTTATATCCTGCAACCTCAATGAATTTGCTTATTAGTTATAACAGGTTTTTTTTTTTTCTTTTTGGAATCAAGGGTTTTCTACATATAAGATTCATGTCATCTGCAACCAGAAATAATTTTACTTTATAAATCCTTTATACCTAAAATTGGTTCAGAAGCTGTTTGGCAACCTTGGTCTATTCGTTTTCTCATTCTTCTAGAAAACGATCAAACAGGTATCTCTTCTCTCCAAATTTCCATTATGTCCCCTTTCGTCCCCATTTTCATTCATGTTAACAGAAACTATTAGAAAAGAACTTTATCAATTTCTACCACATTTATTTACCTACATATATCTATGCCCATGTAACTCTTCCTTTTCTGTATAATGGATAAACAATCACTGTTCATAAGGCATAAACTTTTTCTTATACACAGGATTTTATCCTCTTCTTTGCTTACTTAATAGGATATTCTTCTAGCATGTTCTCTTGCATCTTTAGTCTTTCTACTGGATCATTTTTATTAACAAAAATGCTACAATTTCTCTCATCTTAATTTCATCTCAAAGATTATTGCAATTTTATCACTGATGTTTTAATAAACACCTTCAGAGGAAGATCTTTCACTATTTTCATTTCTATTTTTAACTGAGATAATAAAAAAGAACTACTTTCTACTTGAAGGCCTGTAAACTTAAGTTATTAGCAAAAATATCTTTCCACACTCCAGAAAAATGTGGAAATGCTTGATTTAAATGTATTAACAAATTGAATAATGTCAATGGAGCAATTCCAGCCAGATAAATCTCTCTTTACTTGTATTCAACGACAGTAATACAACAACAATTTGGATCCCAGTCTGATAAATTTTGATTTTTCCTTTCCACTTATAATGATCATTTGCTTTGGGGATGCTAAAAGTAGGCTTTATAATATGCTTCCAAGAAGGGGTTATTTAAAACTAAAAATTTCTTTGAATCTACAGAGGGTTTCCACTGTCACGTTAGAGATATTCAGACGCTAATACATGCCACGAAAATATTTCTGCTCTTTTGTTTAGACATACCCACTATGTATCAGTACATTGCTTTAGATTTTTTACCTTAATCTGGCATCATTTTTAAAGAGTTTATTTATTTGGGAGAGCGAGCACAGGTGGGGGACTGGCAGAAGGAGAGGGAGAAGTGCCCAATGTGGGGCCCCATCCCAGGACAGGGATCATGACTTGAGCTGAAATAATATTCAGATATATCCAAGAAGCCTGTTTTATACTCCAAAAAACCTAGTTTTGAGGTAAAGAGAAAACCGTGTCTATACTTCCTTGATTTTTTTTTTGATGGAGAAATTAATGATTATTTAGAAACTGTGAAGTGGATTGCACGCCAGACAACTTATTCCAGGAAAGTCAGGCTATATAAATTTGTGTGTGTGTGTGTGTGTGTGCAAGCACGTACATGTGTATGTATGTGTATATCTCTCTTTTAAGAGACATCACAACCTAATACAGTATATGGACCTTTCTGAAATAATCAGGAATTTTAGCAGAAACAGTAAGGGGTTATTATTCATTTTGTTATTATAAAAATGACTATATATTTAAGAAAAAAGGATTCCTATAGGTTAGAGAAGCATAGGAAGTATTTATGAGTGAACAAAAACTGACAGGCATGTGCTGTGGCCACCAGGTACGTAGCAAGTAGAATATTACTTATACTTTTAATAAATCGTTTTCCAGTTCTTCCCTCTCCCAAGCTATATATTACTGCCTGATCTTTGAATCTCCACTGAAGCTACCGCTGGAGGCTAAAATACTCACTAATCCCCTTTCCATTTATCCCTACTTTAGAGGGCAACTTAGGTCTATCTTCTCCAGTGTATTCTTACCTCAACCTTTCTGGCTGATACTAAATTGCCCATTTGTAATAAACTTTGGAATAGAGAAAATTATTCTCAGTATGGAGTACAGTGCTTAGCACATAACTGGCTTAGTTATTTCATACCTATCAACCATTCAAACTGGACTATGTACCAATGTTTCCTGGTATGGTCCACGCCATTTCTCTACTCTTATATTTTAATTTTAGTCCACTACAAACATTAGAGTACCTCCATCCCTTAAATTGTGCTTTCAAGTTTGCTGGATAAAAGAAAATCCACTTTCCCTAACTAGATATGGAAAGAGGACTACTGGCTAGATTGCAGAACCAAAGATTAGAAAACAACCATTCAGCTCTTGTCCTTCATCTTTATGAAAATCTTAATTCCAAGTGTAGTGATTTATATCCTGGCCTGTGGGCTCTTAATTACTAAGCTTTTGATATAGATCAACTTTTCATTTAAATGATCTTCTAAGAAAAAATAGTCATTTTGAAAGGTGAGACAATACATGTTTGGCTTAAGAAGTCAACTTGAATGTGAATCTGAGTAAACAGAAATCTTTAAATACCTTAAGTTTTCATTTCATATTAAACTTTGATTAAATTTAATAAAAAATTTAAAATACAGTAAAAAAAGATACACATTTTAGATAAGTTAATGGTTTCCCCCTCATTTCCTTGTAAGTAATTTGTAACTCTAATTTTG